TCATAAACGGCTTACCTCGAGTTGCCGCATGATGTCTCCATCGATAGCTAGGACAAGACATTTTACCGTTTTTTCTTGTAAAAAAAAATCGATTTAACATCAATGGCTTTGATCCAACCAAGAACAAGATACAAATATGCCAAATTCCGACAAAATGATGCTTAAAACAATGACTATAACCGAGCTAGAGTTATACGTACTCCCGTTCTTGTAAGCGACGCCATTGAATGACATATTCAAACAACATTTGCGTCTGTTGTCAAGGCAACCTAGTGTCCAGTCTCCTTTGGCCAAAAACTTCGCAGGGGTTAAAATTCGGTTTTCAAGCCGTGCCTTAAGTATGCTGAGTAGAAAACCTATTCTTGACAGGCCCACAACAACTAGCGTTGTGCTGTCATAATTATAAGTTTAATAAAGTGTTACTGTTGGGTGCCTTGTGTGCTTTTTGCTGTTGATTTGATGTTATCAGATTTGACATCGGGCTTTGAACACGCATTCTAAGTTCATAATGTGGAGTATGGTGAAAGAGAATTTAAAATTAGACAAGAGGTATCTTACCTTGAAGGATAATTGTAGTTCTCTGAGCCATACGGAACATTATGACCTTACTTCCCTCCCTATGATTGTGGCATGTAGTTATCTATCACTAACCCCCCTTCATTCTCCGATGTCAAATATATGTTATGGTCTTTCACGAAAGAGAAGAGGACGAGTCTTGTTGGTCGCTGCATTTTATATACTTTAATTTGCATAACAATGGTACTTTGAAACGTGGCTTATTGCGCATGGATCATTATTTACGCTAAAATACGCATCTTTAAGATTAAGAGGCTAACTAATCCCCTGGGTGCAACAAGCCACTAATGAGATCAATGTTCTCTATTTTGAAACGGATACGTTGCACAAATTTATTTAAAGGTTTCAAGTTAATGACTGGTCTAAAATAACCGGATTTCTTTGGAACCAAAAACAATGACGAAATGAATTCACCTGGCACATGAGACACTTGCTCGATCGCACCTTTTGAAAGAGTTTATCAACTTCTACATTTAATAGTTGATAATGAGACTCGGAATGATTTGAAGTCATAGGTGCAAACGTTTGCCATGGGCATGAATCAAATTCCAGTCGATAGCCCCGAATAGTTTCAAGAATCCAAGGATCCGAAGTAATTTGAGACCATTCATTCACTTTAGTAGCCAGATTAGTCGCATTACAAAAAACTCACATTGTAAACTCACATTGTTTATTTGTCTTGGGTGTTTTCCGATTTTGATGAGCTCTTGCTTCGGTTGTACCGTTGTTCTGTCTCTCGTCCAAGTTGACGAGATTCTSTGCCTTAAAAAACGGGAACCTGAATTATAGTTATAGTTATTATTGTAGCTACCAGAGAGCTTAGAACGGCGGCCAGAACCACGGTTGCGGCCTTGGCGAGACTCGGTAGACTGTGTAATCTTTGTAGCGACTTTGTTAGCCTTCGTTATATCGTCCAYWAACTTRGAAAGGTCGTCTCCAAACAATAGGCTTGTTATGGGAACTGTCGCGGAGCACAGGGATTGAAAATTCTTACTTAGTTCCGGTTTCAGGAGCTCTCTTCGGTATAATTTGAGGATTCCAGCGAAAAAAAATGCATTCTTTTTCATCTACACCAACCCACGCAAAGCTACCGGTAGCAGGATTACAAAAGGTGTGATAAATCTCTGTAAGCGGCTTTAACATAAACGTTTTACCACAATTGGCCGGTCCGGTGATCATGATATTCTTGTATTTCCCTCGACCTTCTTCAAGTCATGTCTTGATGGCTTGTGAGAAACTGTCTTGAGGTATATTATTGTTCCTCAGTACTTCTTTGGCGCATTTTAACCACTGGCCATTGCATCCTGTTACGCAATTTCTTGTTCTGGCGGTAGGTATTCTGCATGGTCAGGCGGAGCGACGGATGCATGCTGTGAATGAGCGTCGGGAAACCCTTCGGGCTCCAACAACGATTGTTCTTCGTTTTATTCGGTACTTTATCGTCAAACGCTGTTTGAAATATAAAACACAGAATAAAGAACGTCTAMGTATAGTCTGAAAGACAATAACGGCCTTATAAAGCAAAAAACAAAGACTGAAGAAACGTGGGCTTACCTCAGTGCGCCAGCACGAAAGAAGAAGAGGACGAGTCTTGCTGGTCACTGCATTTTATATACTTTAATTTGCATAACAATGGTACTTTGAAACGTGGCTTATTGCGCATGCGCAAAGGAGATACGCATTATAAGGTTATAATGTGGAGTATGGTGAAAGAGAATTGCCTTCCAATGGTCTCTTTATGCTGGCTAATATATGTGAAAAGGAATCACAAGTTGAAGTTGCGAGAACAGTACAAACTGACGCCGAAAAACGTGTACACGAACTGCAAGCACAACTGAGCTGGCACGTTGACAGAGAACTTAGTTCAACTAATATAAAGAAAGATCCTTCTAAGCTCAMTTTTTTCACTGGATTTACCTCTCTCAAGCGTAATGAAATGTTCAAGGACTTTATCACAGAATGTCAACTCACATACAATACCAAAACTGCCCTTTCTTTGGACGAACAGTTCTTAATGGTACTAACGAGACTAACACTGGGACTTAAAGAGGAACTACTGGCCTACATTTTTCACGTAAACGTGAGCACTATATCTAGAACGTTTTTAAAATGGATCCCTTGTATGTATCGTCGTTTTAAGCTTTTAAACATATGCCCCTCTAAAGCTAAGGTACTTAATTCCATGCCTAGGTCGGTAGCTCTAAAGTGTCCMTCATTACTTGTTATTGTTGATTGTACAGAGATGAAAATTTTCAAACCCAAAGSACCTGCAAACCAGCAGGTCACCTTTTCCAGCTACAAGAACTGCAATACAGTCAAAGCATTGGTTGGAATTTCACCTTCAGGAGCTATACCTTTCGTGTCAGAGCTATATGGGGGAAATATCTCAGATACAGAGATCACAAAGCAATGTGGAATTGTTGAGCTTATGGAACCAGGGGAAATGATTATGGCAGACAGAGGGTTTTTGATCGAGGACCTTGCCAAAATACATGGCTTTAAAGTTAATGTACCACCTTTTACAGGTGGAAGAGAACAGTTAGAGAACACTGAAGTGATTGCTGGCAGACGAATTGCAAACACAAGAATTCACATTGAAAGAGCAATAGGAAGAATAAAAGAATTCAAGATCCTTACCAAATACCTCATGTGCAATGATAACAAATTTCAAGCCTCAGCTTATTAGCAAGTGATTTTCTTGTCAGTCAGACACTGAATGATTATACAAGATGCAATGACCTAGAACTATGTATATATGTATGCGTACTGYATTAAATAACTGTCTCTGTACAACTGGAAACAGATAATGAGTTKCATACTAGTACTAGTAGTCAATGTACTGCATACTATAAGATCATAGTATAGGTTTCACAATGAGCAGAWGCTATATAAAGTGTTCTTTGCACTGTTTCTATCTGCATGTACAGTCGGCATTGATAATAACTACATAAGGAAATA